CAAATCCTATTTAAGATGTTTTCTAGATGTGTGTGCTCTTGTTGTATCCGTGCCTTGTACACTTTTACAATGGCTTTCAGAAAACAAAGGCATTGTTAGGTTTATTTTGGAGGTGACCTTTAACCTGCTAACTCCACAGCACCGCGAGACAAACGGAGCCTGTGGCTGGTCTGCCCAGGACTCCACGAGCCCAGACTCTCAAGATGCTTGTTGTCACGGAAACCGCTCCATCACTCAAGCCCTGTCACTTAAGTCAAGCCAGGGCCTGGCGCTGGTACGTCTGCCCTCTGTGCCTGGCTTGTGGCCGTCTTGAAATATACACACTCCTTACGTTAAAGCATTCACTCCCTCTTCATTACTTCAACATCAGTGTTAGAACTATCCAGCTCCTACAAGAGGCCGTATGTGAAACTTCAGGTCAAACGTCTGGATGGAAATGTGCTTTTTGTTAGGCTGCCTTTCGAGGCGATGTGTCTTGTCACAGCTCCCCTCTCTCTGTGTCTGTTTTAATATTACAGGATTGTGTTGATGCTACCATAGCAGAATTTGATTGAAAAAACAAACAGCCTCTGACAATAAAAGCACTCAGGGTAATTGAGCAGTGGCTGGCAGGAGCAGGTCGATCGATCATTTTCCCTTCAATTAACCAGAAAGCCCTCTCCTGCTGATGAGAGGACGGGACAGGGCTCTTTTAAGCAAATGAGAAAGAAAAGAACGGCTCATAAAAAAGACAGCCCTGCATATCCTTGAGACGTGTTTCTCCCCTTCGTTACTGGGCGTCTCTGCAAACCGCAATCAGAAATGTTGGAGAAGCTACTGCAGCCTCAGCTCATGGGACAAAATGATGGACATGAATTATGGACACACAACGAAGGAAAATAGGAAAGATTCCGATAAGGAAGCCATCCAGCCAGCCAGCCTGTACTGGGAGTGGGTACCTTTGGGAAGTCAGTCTGCGCAGGAACCTCTGCATACAGCTGCGCAGCTGTCGGTAGAGGTTCCTGCAGCTGTTTGTACGCAGGACCCTCTGCGCAGGCGACGTGCTGGAATGGGAGTTTTGTGAGTCTTCCTCACATTGCGAGGGAGTCTCTGAGGTACATGAGCCACGCAGGTGCAGGTGACATTTGGAAGCCAGTCCCCCGGGCAGCTGCAGCAGCCGAGAGCCTGAAGCCTGCACTCCATCAGTGTCAGACACACGGGGGGAGGGGGGCCGGAGCAGAGCTGAAGGAAACCGCATGTTTGACCCACAAAAGTCTTTCCTTCGCTTGTGGAAGCTTATTCCATGGCTAAATATACACAGCGTTCAGGCACGACCTGAACAGACATCATTTTATGACAAGAAAAACATTTCTGGGGGAGAAAGTAAATCAAAGAAGTCTGCACTTCTCTTAAAGACACAAGATGCGAGGAGGGCAGCTCACCCAGGTGCTCTGGTGGGCTTTAATGAGATACAGCCCGGTTACAGAACACTGCTAATGCTCTTAAAGTGCTTCCTTTCCCCACTTAATACAAAGCTTGACAATAGATACATTTACCTGATGTGACTCAGAGACCAAAATGCAGCTCACGTCTTCAAGGTCACTTAGTGTTCTCAGCTTGGATACTGGGTTACATGTGGACAGATCTAGGTTGTGTGGATCTCAGACAGGCAGTACTAGCTGCACTGAAGGTGGCTCCTAACACTGCAGCCTACTGATCGCTAGTCTTTGAAGGCTGGAGGTTTTATCTGCTGTCATTATTTCTGCCTGTCCTTGATGACAAATAAAAAGGCAACTCCAAGACCAGAGCGCAGAGCAGGTACTGATTCTTCTCTTCTTCATGTGATCACGGCCACTTCAAAGCACAGAGGGCCGCGGTCATCAACGGGGCCTCACAGTACAAAGGCACAATTCTGCACACGAGCGTATCGGCAGCTCTGGGCTGTGAACTGGAATTAAAGGAGACCTGAGGCGAGGGTGTACCTTCAGCACACTACTCTCAGGGATCTGGGGACCAACAGGGTCACCTTATCCAAAAACACGAGAACCCCCATTGTTGAAATCAAGAGCTAGAACTTCCATCGGTGTGTGAGCCGATGTTCTGACTGAATCCAGGACTCGACTGAGGGGCACGAGGCTCCTTGGCACACAGAGAGAGTGCCACACCGGCCCCTATGCAGCCGAACAGAGAGCTACGAGCCCCCACCGGTCCGCAATGAGACAGCCATCCCATCATCCCCCAGGGTGTGTGTGGCCTGACAGGGGTCCGTTGTGGGAGATCAGCACTGCACTTACACATTGATCACGGAATATAAAACATGCGAGGAAAGCTACTTCGCAACCAGCAGACCATTTACCACTTAAAGCATTGTACTAATTGAAGTTTAGACATACTTGCATGTGTGGATGTACACAGATATTTTGAAATATATATCCGTCCACTGTTGGGAAACTGCTCATCTTGCAGAGCCCACTCCAGCCCCGCAGAGAGGCACGGCTCTGAGGATGACGACAGGAGCAGTAACAGCCCGTGGCGGAAGCGTATTTACAGTGTAGCCCAGAGCTCTGCCCAGAGCTCAGCGAACCTGCAGACAGACCCTCAAGCTCAGCACACCGCGGACACGACGCGCCCCCCCGCCGGAGCGGGTCAGAACGGTACGGGAATCTGACCGGAAAAGCATGAAACGGAAATCCGCTGCCTTGTCCATCTTTCATGAGACGCACTGGAGTCGATTCTGCCGCAGGAGCGCAGGCACGCCCCGAGGCCTTCGGAGAACACACTGGGGCCCCAGGGGCCCCAGGGGCCGGGCTGGAGAAGAGGCTGGAGCCCTCGGGGGGCTCTCAGATCGACCAGGGCCTCTCCTCCCACCCCCTCCCTGCTCACACATGGCCCCTGTGCCGAGACCACAGCACCCACGACACCCGGGTCTCTGTCACGCCCCAGGGACTCAAACTGGAGTCAGAGGGATATCTCACACTCCTGCACTGGTGCAACACCTAACTGGGAATTCGTGGTCCTTGAACATAACAGTAATCTAGTGTTAATTTGCTGTCTTACGTTGTTCTTATCTTATCACTAAATTGGTTTTATTGTTTTGAAAGTAACTGCAAAGATAATAGGAAAGGGTGGCCATATCCAGCCTGAAGACACTTTGCTGAGCTGCTTCCTGCTCAGCCCACACACAGCTCTACACAGTGAAGAGAGCTCCCTGATCTCCCCCCAGCGCCCAGCAAAACTCCTCTGCCCCTTGTCTAACTCCTTTCTCCAGTACAGGGTCGCTGGGGCAGCTGGGTCTGGGGAGCACTGGCCACAAGGCAGGATACACCCTGGACAGGACGCCAGTCCATCACAGCACACACAGCCCTGATCACAGGATCCCCTGTCCGCAAGCAGAGATCACATGGCTTCCACAGGCACTGCTGAGCTCAGAGCAGCTGGGTCTGGGCAGCCCTGGGTGTGGGGGGGGCGACAGGGGGGTGCCCTGTCGATTTGCATGGCAGATGCGAGGCGAGAGCAAACAGCAGCTCTTTGTTGGGGAGGAGATCTCAACTCCTGATGCCCCCTCAGGCTCCGGCTCCGCCCCACGGTGGCGCTGTAGGCTCTGTCCCTCTCACACCCCTGTCTGTACACCGCTCCCCTGTGCTTTCCTATTGCTCCGGTCCGCCGGGCAGCACGGGCGAGATATCCTGGGAATACCAGCAGGAATACCAGCGGGAACCGCGTCGATTCCACAGCTGGTTCTCTATAACCCGCACTGCTCGGGAAAGGAGCGGGATTCATCGGCTCCACGGCACGCACACGCGAGGGGCAAAACCACGCAAAGCGGTTCAACACCACGACTGCCAGCTTCATGACGACATGCAACGGGTCCGCTCAGCTGGAGGTTCAGAAACCAGCTGTAAACGTGTAGCTGCTTCATGCTCTGAGCGGCACTGGTTGTGAAGTCTTTTTCAAGAGTGAACTGTACTTGTACTGTTTTCATTGGTAATAGAGTTATTCACCTTTAAATTGCACGGTGCACAGGTCTCTCTCCTACAGAGCTCTCTATTTTTATAACCCCCTGCGTTACCCAGCCCTGACGGCTGTCTCTGATTGCCGTTATGAGGAGACTATTTGTGGAAGCGCACATGACGTCATTTCTCAGACGCACTAGCCTTCCCACACAGCTCGCCGGCCGGGCTCGGTCTTCAGCGCCGGGACGTATCGGGGCGCCGCTCGGATGCCTTCGCGATCGGCTCCCAGCCGAGACACAGGCGGGGAAGACGAGCTCGGGTGCACCTGTCCGCCACACCACGGCGCCCGTCCCTTCGCTGTCTCGCTGTCGAGCGCCGCGGCGATGCCCGTGTCCCCCTCGGCTCCTCGCGCTCACGCCTCTCATTCATGCACGGCGCGAGCCGCCGGAGAGGGTGATTCCCCGTTTCCTCTCGTGCTCCCGCCGCGCGCTGTGACGACCCGACGCGCAGTGCACTTTTACACACAGAGCAGGGGCAGACACGATTAAATGACCGGGTGTTGGGACACCCGCCGTTCATTAAAACGTCAGATGTGAAAACCGAATTCCAGCGTGGAGGTTTACATGCAAAAGAGCCTTAAATACTACTTCAAGTCCTCTGTTTAAACCCTTCTCTGCATGCTTGTATAATTGCAAGAATGGTATTTGAATCTCACCTCCCTTCGCCCCCGATACACATACAGGCTAAATTATAAGCAGGGGATGTTTAACACAACGGTCCCACACACTGGATCGACATTACATGCACTGCCCTTCCAACATTTTTCAAGTGCCGGGTTCTGTCGGCGCGCTCAGTGCCGCTGTCCCTGAGCGCCCAAGTCCGCTCGCGCTGACCACGAGCACGGACGGCAGGCTCGGGCGCCCCGGTCCACCCGCCTCGCGCCGGCACTTCCTCCGCTACTTTGCGCGAGTTTGCTGCCCGGCTCGGCTCGGGACCCGCCAGCCTGCCCGGAGCCGGAACAGCAGCGCCGAGACGCGCAGAGCGAGAGAGACGGCGCCGGTACTCAACTATTTGCAGAGGTGCTGGAGACTCAGGTCCAGGCACTCGCCTTCCACCTCGTCCTCCGAGACCAGGTCCGGCAAAGGGCGCAGGGGCAGCGGCTCCTCGTCCCCCAGCGCTCCCCTCATCTCGCGGAGGAACAGCTCCAGGAACCTGCGGAAGGTTTTCTCCTCGCTGGCGGAGCCGGCCATCGCTGCTCATTCCTGGAGAGACAGAGACAGATCGAGCCGGGCAAGGGAACTGCTCCGGGGCGCTGCTGGAGAGCTCCCAGTGCGCGGCGGGGGCGCGCGCGCGTGATCAGCGCCCGCACAATGGCCGCGGAGGGGAGGGGGGTGCGCGCTCCCGGCGGCGGGGCCGAGCATCACCTTGGAAGAGCGTGCGCGCCGCGCTGGTCGCCACAAAGAGAGTTTCTGCGCCCCTAGACCCCGGTGTGCTCGCAGCCTGTGGACGGGGGGAGGACGCGGGCGGTGGAAGGTGACATCTGCCGAGGTGCGAGTGTCCATTCTCCCCCGGCCGGCCGTGAAAAGGAAAATGAATAAAATGAGATAAAATACCTAACCGTTTATTCGGCTACATTGTACACCTTGTATACGGCTATTGTACACTCAGTGCTAGTCTAGGTGAACAGTGACACAGAATAAGCACGTAGGAAAAGACAAGTAGCATCAGGCATCTGTCACACAGGTTCCACCAGAATACTCAAACACAACAGCGTGTGGGGGTCCGGACTGTGACATTGTCAGGGTTTATTAGAAAGTCTCCACGTCCGCGTCTCCCTCCGCCGTCTTTGACGAAGGACTCTAATGTGCGTTTGAAAGACTGACATTTTCATGAAAGGTTTTGAAAATTCCTCCCGTCTTACTGACGAAAACAACCGTCTCTACTGCCGGTGTTGTTTTGTCTTTTTTGTTGAATTTTTATTATGAAAAAAAGCTTTTTAATCAGTTTTTTTAAAAAATAAACACATTTCTGTTCGTTAGCACCGGACTTGCCCGACGTCACAGTCGGTGATGCTCCACTGTCTAGTACAGTATATAGGACATGAACCGCCACTGTGCTAAAAATACCAGCTGGAGTAGATTCACGGCCTCGTTAACTCCTTCGTGCCTGCGGGCTGAGCCACTTCGGCCCTCCTGCGATACGGTCAAGAGCCGGGGCTCTTCTGAACCCGGGTGCGATTCCTTTCCGGCTTGGAGAGACTGCGTAACCGGCTCAGAGCAATTCTCGCAAAAAAACCCCACCGACAGCACGGACCAGGGCAGCCTTGGCTCTCCGGCCGATCGGTCAGGCAGCGGCGCTGCAGCGGTCAGTGTCCGCGCGTGCAGACTCGCGCTAAATAATTAACAGGTTCGTGCTCATCAGAGAGAGAGCGCGCCACGCGTCGGCGAGCCGCCCTGAAGGTAGAGGTGTCCTCCGCGGTTTATATCGGGACAGGGGAAGACACGGACCGGCCTTCCGTACGGAGCTGTGTCCCCAGTAACGGGCAGACCGGCTTCCTACCGACCTCAAGCACGTCGGCTCGCGTTCACACCCTGCGACACCTCGAAACAGGTCCCCCGGGAGAGCGAGGGAACACGACTCGCCTGCTGTGTCGATTTTTACACAGAATGCGATTCAGCTCGCCACGAACGACTGCTTTACAGACTTCTTCAGAGTGGTGTAGGGGCTAAACTTTTAGGACGCAATTCAATCAGTGTACTCGGGGAGCAGGTGCGCGGTGAAAATGAGAAACAACGGAAGAGAATTCTTGACTCGGGGTCGTGGGGCGAGACCGGGCTGCAGCCTGAGCCCAACACTGCTGAACATCCACAGAGAAAAGACCAAGTGATTCTTTTTGGCTGTGTATTCATGGAAGCTGCATTTAAAGATCAAATAATATGAGGCAAAAGTATCTCATTTAATCTTTGTTCTCTGGATATTATTGTGCATACTGTATAGTATTTGTTGTGTTTAGTCAGGTGAGCGTAAGTATGGAGGTAAATTCCCAGCACTTTCAATAACTGCTTATTCAATTCAAGGTCATGGCAGCCCAGAGCCTACCCCACCAGCAGAGTGTGCAGGGCAGGGTACACGCTGGACAGGACACCTGTCCATCACAGGACACACACAAACACACACCCTGGCCAGGACACTGGTCCATTACGGGACACACACAAACACACACTCACACCAGGGCCCAGTTTCTCAGAAGCCTGTTAACCTTCCAGTAGAAATATGAACTGTGATAGCAAATGTGAACACAGTGAGAACACACAGACTCCACACAGACAGCACCCCAGGAACTGAACTCAGGGCTCCTGTGCTGACCACTGCACCACTGTGCCTCTCTACTGGGACAAATTCATCGAATGTAAATACAAGTAAGTAAATGAAACTAGTGTACAATTGGAGTTTGGTCACATACCCCTTCCCTGCAATAACTGCTCCAGGTCTGTGACCCATCGACATCACCGGACTCTTGATATGTTCCTTCGAGATGCTTTGCCGAGCCTGAACTGCAGCCCCTTCAATGTGGTCAAGCGGGCACTGTACTCTGGACCGTTGTCCTGCTGCCGGGAGGATTGCAGCCCAATGAGTTGGGGGCATTCTTTTGGACGGGGCAGACATGATGTTTCTAGAGACGTCACATCTTCAGTCAAGACCAGGGAGCCTGGCCAGGGGCAGCAGAGTCACGCCCCACCTCGCTCACGGGCACGGCGCTGAGGATCGCTCGCAGTTCCTCTGTCCCACACGTCTGTCTTTCTGTCACTTTCCTCAAGGATTATCCTCGTCTCGTCTGTCCGGAACACTTTGTTCTATAAGAGCTGTGGATCATCTTTGTACTTCTCTGCAAATTCTAATCTGACCTTTCAGTTTTCAGTGCTGAAGAGGGGGTTGTATCTTGCAGTGTAGCTCACAGTGAATCAAGATACTCTCACCTGTCTGCACTCTTTGGCTCTTTAGGACTGTTCACTCTGATGATTTTTCTGCCATCAGTTGCTTTCATCCTCCTTGAATGAGCTGGTTTCTGCCTATTGTTTACTCCTGCAGTGGTTTCCTTCTTTTTCAAGACAGCCCACGTTACTGAGTGTGGATGCAGTGGGACACACATTCTCTCCACGATGTTTCGAATCGGAATTGTCTCTTGCTCTCTTCTTCATCACAGAAAGCCCTCCAGTCTTCATCTCCATTTATGGCATCTAACTCCAGAGGCAGATGTAAAAAGCCAATTCCAAAGGCTGGAGCAAAGAGTCTGTCTCGCAGGGTTTTGTGACGTCCGTAAATGTCAATGCCAATAAAGCTCTTTGAGTTTGAAAGATGGTGAGCGTCCATGAAGAGGGAGAAGGGGAGAGGACAACACCAGTCCTGAATCAAATACAGTGATCTCTACTGGCACAACCGATTCCAACCAACAGTCTCAAGATTGTTTCAGTACCTCCACCACTGGTCTGCCCTTTCCTGTTGAGGTAGTTGATACAAACACCCACCCTCCACCAGAGGGAGCTACACACCTTTCCCTCTAGGCAACACCCTCAACACTACGAAAAGGCTGCAATTGAACAGAGTGCCCTGGGCATCCTTCTCTTACCCCGTTGAAGAAATCCCCAAAGGCCTATCTTCATTAATAATCTGTAGATTCAGAAATCACATTGTTTTCAGTTTAAAAGGTTGTGTTGCTTTAAACCAGTGTGGCAGAATTGAATCAGCATGCTTTAACCAGGAAAGGATGTATTTATTCCTCTTTGACCTTTTTCTAGACAATAAAAACAGACCTTCATAGTAGAGTGTTAATACACATTGATTATTAAAAATGAGGCACCTTAAAAACAAACAGTTTTCACTTCTTTGAGCCTTTTAACCATTCCTTACCCATTATGTGAAAAAAAACTATTTCCACCAAAAAGCTGATGAATCTTGCCACAGCTTCTATGTGGGTGGTGCTGTGAGGATCCCATCACAGCGGCCTCTCTGCTGAAAAGGAATTTATAGAATCCTCTCTCTGTGCCGTTTGGTTCTCTGCCTTTTTTGGGAGCACCTGATGCACGTGGTGCCCAGTCACTGAGTCCCACACTCAACCAAAAGGGATTTCAGATCTCGCTGCCCTCCGTCACATTCCCTCCAAGAGCCTGGGCTTCATCAATGCGTCATGTGAGTTGTGCATCCACACAGTTACACAAACTCTGCACAGCCCTCAAAGGTGGAGAGAAAAGACCAGTAGCAATCAAATGTCAAAATCAGCATGTAACTGATACACATCGCCACGAACCCTTCATGCTGACCAGAACATCCTGAGTACAGGTACAGCACCAGCACCTGTGTTTCCAAGATTGAAAAATGTGCATCGAGCTAGAAAAATAAAGTGTGTTAGACAGTACTATGCTCAATTTTATCTGTCATGTTAGAATTTTAATGTGTACACAACTGAACAAACATGATGAAGTTTTTGTAAACCATTTTGTCGCTCCCTGGCGAAGGGCAGGCTCATTAACATGCACAGATGTTTTTCTGTGGATATTACTCCCACTTCCACGTCACCCTCACTCAAAACAGGGGCCTCCGAGTGGCTCCTTGGAGCAGTCTCACGATTGTGATCATGAGCCTGGCTAGAGCCCTGGAGATTCTGGGATTCGTCGTCCTGGACTCTCATGGCTCACGGGAAACACAGAGACCCCTGTGGCCACACGGACGCCTGCAGGCACACGGTGCAGGTCTGCGGTATCTGTGATGTTTTCAGACCTGAGCGGTGCAGAGGTGAGAGGGCCAGAGGAGCCTTCCTTTGCCTATGCAAAAAAACAGCTATTGCAAAATGGATGAGTAAAAATACCTAGTCAATCTAAACTGTAAAATAAAATGCAATGATTCTATAAATATAATTTAAAACATATAATTGATCTAATAAGCAAGGCGAGCCCCTGATCAATGGAGAATGGGGTTCACACCAGGCCATCTCCACCATGCCTCTTTAAGAAAGATTGCTTTAGAGCCTGGAGGCGTCTTAACTGCGTTTTCTGTCCCGTGACAAGACAATCGTTGATCCCAGCCCTGGGCTTGCCACTGCCTCACTTTCCTGGAGGAGACTTTCTCTTCACTCCTGGAGCAGGTGACCAGAACTGGGATTGTGTGGACAGGGCCTGCGCCTTACTGGGCTCGCGTCGCAACCCTGCACTGCAGGAGCTAGAGGGGGATTCTAAAACGAAAAAAAAACCCAAAGCAAATCCACTGTGCTCGCATGATAAGCCAGATTCATATCTTGCGAAAGACAAAGAGCCAGCAATTTAAAAGCGAAACCCCTTTCAATATCTATATTGCTCTCCCTCCGAAACCAGGACAGATAAGGCCAAGCACTCATATTTCACCTGACTGCCGAATGCCCCTCCTGAAGCCAGCTATTAAGTGTATAATTTAATTACGAGATGCACCGCAAGCGCTCTCAGCCAGTGATGGGCGGGTGAAATACTGCCTGTGCAGCCCACTGATGGACTCGCCTGAAAGAGGCTCTTCAAGGACTAATGAAAGTGCTACCAAAGTCAGTGAAGACTGGGCCAAGCCTGAGGGGGAGCTATCCGAGTACAGGGCCTTGTTTTTACCTTGTGTATACCCAACTGCCTCTTTCACAGGGCCCTGAGCTCTGCAGCTATCAGAACTAAATGTAAGAGGGAGAGATTAATCAGTCAAGTGTAACCCCACCACCTTCATGTCAGCAGTGTGGATGGATGCATTAACATATTGCTCCATTATTGGAAACACAGATGGCCAAGTGAGATCAGGGGTGATTAAAACTTAAGGAGAACCATATATAAAGGATTTCATTTACTTTTTCGTAGAACAAAGAAATACACTTATATCTGTGTATTACACACTATATGCAAACAAGAACATCACATATGGAAACAGACATCTACATCTATTATAACCCTGTCCACTGGACAACTGCTTGATTTTTAAATGAAGACAAAAAACCCATAAAAACAGACAACGGCTAACTCCAGTTACAAGTGATGACATTGCCTGGCTCGGCAGAAGACTCTTTCAATAACCCGCCAATCCGGGGGCAGGGGTACTGCTGGACACACAGACACTGAAGGGATCAGCAGGCCTGGGGAGTTAAGGACACGGGGAACCAAGCCCAGCGTCAGGACAACGACTGCCCTTCGTGTGCGGGGGGCCGGCGACTGGACCCCGAAAGCTCTCCCTCGTCTGCACGGGGTCTCTTGCGGGACGTCGGGGGGTCTCCAGAGGGGGCTGCAGAGGGGTCAGCCGAGGGCAGCTGCAGGTCAGCAGGTGGGACGTCCCTGAAGCCCTGAGCCTGCACACAAGAGAGGGAGCAGCACCGTGATCAACCAGAACGAAACGATGCAGCCGTCACGTCAAACTCTCGCCAAGACACGGCTGACCAGGGGAACGACAATTAACAGCAACAGGCTCAAGACTGGGGCATCAAACTGTGGTTTTTCCTTCTCTTAACTTACAGCTCAACAGGGCACATAGTATTTTAAGATCTTTACAGTTGATATAAAAGCATGTCCTCCCTTGAGTTTGATCCCTCTGTACCAGACCAAATATTCTTCTTCTTGTGAATATATACGTATATAAACAAAGTATTCATCACAATCATCATGAATGATTTAACTGTTCATTTTCCTTTTTGCTTATGCCACTCCACATTATGTATTAAAAGCAAACAGTTTATGTATTAACTGTATGTACTACTGACACTAACTGTTTGCTTATAACAGGCAGCATCACGTAAACATCCATTCATTTTATTTTGTGAGCCTTCAGATGAATATCCTGTTACAGGTGCAAAGATGCGGTAGACATCTGGCACAGATCTCTCGTCAGCTTGTCCTTGAACAGACGAACCAATGGCTCTCTCGCCACAGCAGTCTACGCTGCTCGTCAAACCCATTCATGCTCTGTTGACACAGGTGGGAGCTGCACTGTCAAACTCTCCGATCACAAACATCCGAAACACTCTTCCCCCTGTTCACCGCGGTGCTTTTCAGCCAAGCCACCACAGCTCAGATCCACCTCACTCACTTCCACCACTGCAGCAGTGAAGAACTGGAAACGCAGGAGCAAACAGTTTGAGATAACAGGGGATTATTAACAGAAGGTGATAAAGTGATAAAGTCATAGCACACATGACAGACAGTCCACACGGACTCTTCCCCAGCACGAGCTGTCAATCACACGCCGATGGAGTTCAACAAGCTCCAGCAGTTTCATAAGTTTACTACTTCGGACACTGAGATTCTCTACAGGCGCAAGAGCAGCTGAAGCCTCCGGAGGGTATTTTCACCGTCATACTTAAGGAAATGAGGAATGTTCATCATTGACTCCTACACACAGGGCACCACAGCTCTCACTCAGAAAGCGAACAGTCCCACAGATTGGAGAATTGCAGATACGTACGTAGTACCAGCATTTCCACCTGCTAAAAGGGGAGGAGAACCGAATGAGCGTAACGAGCATCACATGACACAGGTTGGGCTCAGTGTCTCGGCTGCTGCTGGCTCGAGCTCGGGTCACGTCACTCGAACTTGACCGATCTCTCAAGCAGGCTGGCTGCCAGGGTAGAGCTGGAATAGGTGGACAGGGCACCACCTCTCCTGTCAGGCCACTGAGCCGGCAGTGCAGTCGACACCATGTAGATGCCCCCAGCCCCTTCCCTCTGCTTACTCCAATAGGGGCAGTTTCCCTGAGGGGCCTGGAAGTTGCTTCCAGGGGGGTGAAACTTGAATTCCACCGGCAGTTCCAGATTGGGAGGGTAGAAGATGATAAAACAGGTAATAATTCACCTTTGACAGGGCACGCACAGGCTCCAGGGAAGGCATTTCTGAGTGTTCTGTCTTTAAACACCTCTTATGAAGACTTTGTGTCATAAGCGTGCAGAGGGTTTCTGAAAACAACAGCGTTGCACATGAAAGTGTATCGGGACAGCGGTGAGCCTGCAGTCCTGTCATTCTCCCAGTGGAGAGAGCGTTACAGAGGGCTGCCAGGCAGCACCCGGGACTGTGCCCACGAGCAGGAAGCCCAGCTGGGGGAGTCGGCTGCACTCACTGTGATCTGGAAGGGCACGGTGGCCTCTCTCTGGCTGGGAGACTTGTACAGCGACGCGAACCTGGCAAGAAACACACGATGAGGCTGCAGGCCTGTATCAGAGGCCTCCCCTGAAGGCCCAGCTGTTAGGGCTCCAGCAAGTCTCAGAAGATACACTCCTCACCGTCACGGCAAGAGCACCCCGCAGCCTAGCATAGTGCTCTCCGCTTAATGTGCTGGAGGGCAGCTGATGTGCGCAGTTTCTTTCTGAATCAACTCTTAACTCCAGAGCAGCTCTTTACTGACTTAATGGGCAAATTCTGTACCAATTTAACAGATTCCCCCTATTTTTGCAGGTGCTGGTGCTTTTAAGAGGACGAAACCTGCAGATGTGGTGGCTCACCAGGGCTGGAATTGAATACCTCTGGCCTAGGAGCCGCAGAAGGTATCATTAGGCTGTGCCTTCTGAGTCTAACAGCAGGCTGTAACAGGCCATTCCTGGCCTTAAATATTTAAATAAATACAAAAAAATGTAAGCCAATAGAGCAGTTCAAGAACAGAAGTAACACAGACGTCAGACTGAGATGTAGATGTAGGCTCTGGCTTGGAAACCCTGGTAGAGCAGGAAATTACAGTATTCAATAGTGAAGGAGACAACTGAATGCGCCCCTTGTAACTGCACTGGGTGGAAAGGGTGGTCTAAAACATTACACATTAAACAGCATTAATGTACTCAAACTAAATATCCATCATGTTTGTTTCTAGGATTTAAATGAACACAAGCAATCAGTGACATACGATTATGAGTGGTAAAGTACCAAACATAAGGCTCAGCCAAAGTGATTGTGGGTACCTATGGGATTTATCTACAGTATGTCAGTGTATCCATCCCACAGTACACCTACGTAAATATACCAGTCCAGGCGCCCTCCAGCCCCTTCCCTCTGCACACACGGACACGTCACTTGCCCGAAAACATAATTAAAATTATGAATCAAGCTTACTTCAATGTTTAATGCATGTTTGCCCCAAAGTGCAGAGTCATCTTATCCTGGCAGGGGTTGATGAAAGCGAAACACACAGACGTGAATCAGCCGTTCTCTGTTTTCGTTGTTAATGTCCATCAAACTTGAGAAACTTAACCCTCGCCCCACGTGACTCCCAGAACGTGACCTCTGAGCCGCGTGTATGCAGTCCACAGGACCAGTGGACCACTCTGCCGGTCAGTTTTCCCACGCACCCTCTTCCAGAATGCTGCGGCTCACCCGGCAGAGAGGGGCGGACCTGTGCTAAGCGGCGGCTGATGCAGGACACGGGGGACAGGTGAGCAGTGAACCGCCCCTCGGCTGTGCGCGGACTCCTGTCGGCAGGGACAGGGAGGGGGTTCTCCCACATCGGGGTCCCCCCAGCAAGGCGTGCACGCTCACCTGCTCGGCCCCTCCCAGTGCAGCAGGAGCCTCTGTGTGGCGGCGTGGCCCCAGCTCTCACCTGGGAAGAGGGAGCGCGGCAGTCAGGCTGGCTCCGGCCCAGACCGTTTCCACAGCAGCAGCCCCAGGGTGCCGTCTGCGCACGTGCGCGTGTGGAGCTGTGATCGCCTCTTCCGAACAACTCACCTTTTGGGGGCTTCTCCCCTAATCATAATCACACTCATAATTAAAAGCTTTCCAACAGGCGAAGCAAAACAGTTTTTTTTAACACTATGTCAATTCTTTGAAAGGAGTGAAGTAGATGAAAGAAACGCAGTGGGCTCACAGCCTTTACTTTACACTATTCGTGTTCAACCCAGTTCCTGCAGGCATGGTGCGCCTTTGGGTTTTTACTCCCACTTAGCTCTATAACGCGTTGCCCCAGTTGGATACTGGTTTGAATGGACCAATTTAACAGCTTCCCCAGACTTTCAGGATCACCTTATAGCTGCAGGTTCTGAAGAACTGCAGCCACACAGGGCCTCCAGGGCCAGGAGCCAGGCCCTTAAGCCCGGCTGTTAAGGGTGACAGTCATGCTGGCTTTGCCAGGTCTTCTTAAACCTGCAGCCTCTGGAAGAGGATCGATTCCTGTTTTAATTTGCGGAGGTTTGAAGCTGCCGATTTGAGAACGGCTGGGCTGCTGGACTTGGGGATCACACCTGGGAGGTCCAGCTGTTAGGTCAGTCACTCAGCGCCTCTTCAACCAGCTGTCTCACTCACCTAAAGCAGGCACAAGCATTGATTGGCTTTTCCCCAGTTTTGTCGTCATCTGATTGGTCAGTGCAACCTGGGTAGACAAAGAGGATATTATTAGAGTTAATCACTGGGAAAAAGTCTCAAGGACACAGCTGTCCACAAGAGGGCAGATTATCAGCATAGCAGCAGTAGAATGTCAACAAGATCTTTTTTCCCCACTTCCAGCAGTTCTTCATTTATACTCGAGAGGAGAGAACAGATGATCGATAAGGGCAAGAATATATTCACTCAGCCCTCCGTGTCAAAAGGGTCTCCTCCTAGGATACGGAAGGAGGTGCGAAATGACAGGGATGAGAACCATCGCCGTCCTACGAACAGAATACTGGTTTCAAACAAGGAGATCCTTCAGCCCATTCAGCCATGTCGTAGTTATTAAGGACCCGACCGAGGACCTCATCCGGGTGTTTCGTGAAACAGGCTTTCACCGGGGGGCCTCACCGCGACGCCGTGCTGGGTGGCCAGCTGGATCAGCTGCTGCGCCAGGCCGTTGAGGAGCCGGGTCCGGAGGGACAGGTCCTCGAAGTTGCTGCGGAACGGGAAGGCGATGCTGTCGATCACCACCAAGCGCACCTGTCGAGGAGAGGGCAGACCGTCAGAGCAGAGCAGAGCAGCGAGACTGGGATTCTGTCCTCTCAGCACGGAATCACCTGTTATCTTCCAACTTATAACCCTGGGCTCCCTGACTGAGCTTAGTGATCAACTGTTATTCAGTCTGGTTCACTGCTTTAAGGCTTCATGCCTACACCAGGAAACACTGCAGATCCACAACACGTAGCTCAGGAATCGGTTCAGAGCATCAAGACTTTAGGCTGACAGTCTGACACCAGTACAGATTGTCCGTGGAACAAGCAGGCAGATTTAACACTCCTTCCCTCGCCACCCCAGTGCTGTGACTCGACTCTCCCAGGCCTGCGTCCGCTACCTTGGGGTGCTGGCTGAGGAAATCAGGCAGGAGGTAGGTCTGGGCCAGCAGCTCCACGTAGTCGTGACAGCGGAAGAGGAAGAGCTGCGAGAGGATGGTTTCCACGGTGAACTCCTTCATGGCTTCCTGCTGTTCTGGAAGACACAACCAGAGCGGAGGCAAACAGTCAGGCTTCCCATCAGCCACCTCCAGCCTGCAGCGCTCCAATGTCCCAGAGTGCTACCAAGGGCACAAGCTGAAATTAAGACAAAGTGCATTTAAGATGAGGAAAAAAAGAGGCACTTCCTGCACACCAGGGGGTTTCCATCTCTGGTCTCTCTAGACCCCCAGACCCTTCAGACCCTTCGGCAGGCCGACCGAGTCTCTTGGCCCAAGCAGGGCGATGGGGGCTTGGCCTCTGGCCTCTGACCTCTGACCTGCGTCTCCAGCCACGGCCCCGCAGTGCTGCACCGCCGCCTCTGCCAGGTCCACCGCGCGCTGCACCAGGAAGCTGCCCTCGGTGTCCACGTACACCGCCTGGCCCCCCAGGCCCCCGAAACACGGGGGGATCTGCACGTCCACCGCCAGCTGGACACTGAGGCAGGAGGCAAAGTCCAGAGAAACCCGGGGGTTAGAACTGGGCGACACGGCTCTCTTCACAAGGGTGGAGCAGTGAGACGCTCTCAGGTTGTGGGGGAAAGACACACGATTAGGTTTTACTTTGCTTGTGCAGACTAGTGTGGCGTTACGGTCAGATGCCTCTTCTTTCTAAAACAATGTAACTGCCTTTATTCTGATATTTGTTATTCTAAAAAATGAATGAATGAATTGGGTAATAAAGCAAAATTCACAAAGCATTTATCACAAAGGTAGCAAAAGGCAGATTGATAGACTACTTGCAATGAAACCGTCAAGGACGATTGTCTAACAAGTCGACCAGAGCAGCAGCTCCTGCGATACAACTGTCTGTGGGGGAAGGGCGCCATCTACTGGTCCAAACCCAGTGCTGAACAGACCCAGCCTGAGGTAGGATCGCATTAGGACTCTAGGTGATGAACATGGTATCGGGCTTAGTATGGAACACATGCATCCACCACTGTCAAGCTACAGGCCAGCAGCTGTTCAGCATGCCTGTGTAACCTATGCGCATCGGTACAGATATTGCACCTTGCAGAAGTATTCAGACCCTTCCAGTTTTCACATCTTGTTGCTTTTAAAGTACCGATTGATATCTGTTAGGTACACTACCTATTCCACAAATTCAAAGAGAAGTAAATACAGAATGAAGTCATGAATTATAGACAGGGAGAATCCACGACTGCTTCAGTATTCAAGCCCTTTGCTGCGGTTCAGGGAATATTGAGGTTGTGGGCACTGGGACACAGGAAGGGGCTGAATCCTCTGCAGGGCCGGACAGTGGGGGTCTGGGCCCTACCAGAGCTGGGTCTTGCCCACGCCGGGCGCCCCGCAGATCTCCGTGGTCTTGCCCAGGGGCAGGCCTCCCCCCAGGGCCCGGTCCAGCGCGGAGCAGAAGGTGACGACCGCCCCCAGAGCCCGCTCCCTCTGCAGCAGCTCCAGCGCGGTCAGCCGGCCCCCGCGGCCCGGCTCAGCCTCGCCCCGCGCGGCCCGCAGCGCCTCCAGCGCCTCCAGCGCCTCCTGCTGCGTGATGCCCGCCTCTGCAGCAAACAGGCCCAGGTCAGTCCCGCCCGCGGCCCGGCCTCCCGCCGCCTGGCTCAAACACCTGTCCTGGACAGAAACTGCCCCAGCCCAGCGCCTGGCTCTCTAAGGGGAGAGGCTGCTGCTGCACACCTGGGGTCAGACACGCCGCCCCATCAGCACGGCCTGGAGCTCACAGCTCACTACTCCAACGGGCATCAGACACGCCAACAAGAGGCGGTTTATTCCCCTTTAGGGGCGGATATAGGTCAATCGTTTGCTACAACAACTGCCATCCCCTGAGAAAGCCTGAGTGTAGAAGATCCGTACCGATTTCTAGAAAGACTTATTTGACAACCTGCTGACAGAAACGGCTGCTGTCGTGCCCTGGAGCTGCCCGGCCACGCTGCTGAAGCCCCTACCCCAGCTTCGTGCAGGAAACAGCAGGCCAAACCCCCTGCTCTCTAGCACACGAGCAAGACACATGGCCACATGGCTTCCTCTGCGGGTCTGTGGCCCTGGTGGCAGCTCACACAGGTTCAGCAGCTGCCCTGCTGCGGGTCATCGCTGTGAATGAGAACTGTTCTCAACCGCCTTGTCAGGTTAGATACAGGTTTCTTAACACTGCTGCACCTGGGGGAAGCTCATGCTTCACTGGGCTCTCTCCTGCGCTGCTGACTGGGAGGTGTTCATGAGAGGGGGTTGTGCCCCCCTGAGCGCGGTCTCGGGGTCACAGCTGCACCCCTAGACAGGAGACACAACCGGCTCTTCCACACTGCGGGGGGCGGAGAGCCGGTCCAGACTGCGCGCAGGTGGGACAGGCCTGTACTGTACCCCACTGTATCCCCCCAAAGTGTCTGACTGGGCAGGAAGCGGTCTGGAGCGGCGCTGTACCTCTGCTGAGCTCCAGCGGCCGCAGCTCCCCGAGGTCCCCGGCCGACAGGAACCCGGCGCCGATCAGCTTCACCTTGACCCCGGGGGCGAGGGCGAGGCTGGACACATCCCTCTGCATGCCGGCCCCCCTCTCTCGGCTGCCCACCTGTCCGCACAGCCGACCGCGGAGGAGAACAGAGACCCTGAGCGGCGCTGGAGTTCACTTCGACACCTCGCTGACTATTTCTCACTCCAGCGAATTCTGCAATTTCAAACAAGGGACTTTCTCCGTACGTCTTTACTTGTCGAGGGGCTGCTGTGGTGCTCCGGCGAGCTCACTGGCTGTGCTGCCGGCCTCAGCCATGTTTGACTCTCCCTCCACAGGAAGCGGCGGGGCTGCGGCTGCGCGGCCCGCTGGCGCCCCCGTGTGGCCCGGCTGCGCAGCTCCCGGCCTCCCTTTTCATGTCCAACTTTATATTATAACAACACATACTGTATACACACGAGTGTGCATATAAGGAGAGAGAATTTTAGCATTTACCTTTCAAGTGTACAAGATAGTAACTATTTGTTCTTGCTAATTTTCCTTTCTGCCTAACGACAGTAAGAAAGAATAAACTGCAGGGACATCGTTTGATCTGCCGGTGCTGATGCTATAAACAGAATGTTTTAGCTGAACTTCGCCTGCTCCATTCGTGTCATTTCTTCAGGCCGAGTAAAAGGTGCAATCTCATTTCTTAGTAGTGAAGTGGTCAGTTACAGAGAAGTATTTGTAGAGAAAAACAACTGCTAATATGGAAATGAGCTGCGCTACCCTGACCCTGCTGCTCTCAGGACTGTTCTCTCCGTGCGCATGAATAAAGGACTGTTTCTTCGACGAGAACATATCGACAGCATCGTCAGGGGTACACAATTTAACACAATTACACTTTATGATAAAACATTAAACAAGGTAAATAAACACAAGGTCGGCAGAGCTGTCATGTTCTTACATTTCGATGTAGTCTGTAAATGTAAACGCCTTTACATCTATTGTGAAGTCTTCAAACAGATCTCTTCCCGGACCATTTCACTTTATATATTTGATAACGCGCAAGTATAATAACCAAGTCAATTCCAAAAGATATGCTCATATTCTTTTCAATGGGATTAAAATTCAATATTAATAACGACTGTTTCTTTAATATGTAATATCGATATTAGACTTTCTGTCTAATCAAACCAGAATGTTTTTTTACAACAGAGATTAACCCAAATAAATGTTGTAAAGATCCAGGGCTCCTTTCGGAAGACAGTTCTCATCTGTATTAATGTAAATCTCTGCACAAGGGTCTTGACAGGGTAAATGGGGCGAGCTGTTGTATATGAACCCCACTGTATTCCGGCGGTCGGCCGTGGTCACAAGTGGGGCTGTTCAGCGTCTTTCACACAACGTTTGCAAAATACGAACGTGTTTACCCCCTCCTGACACCCCAAATTGGAAGGAGCGGTCAGAAAATGCCCGGGAAAATATGGGGCTCGTGCCCGAGCGGAAGCGGAAGCGGGCCCCTCCCGAGCGGCGCGCGCCGGGCCTGTAACGGTCGGCGGAGGCGGGAAGCGGGTCCGGACCGGCGAGGCGGGACCAGGCGAGAGCTGCGGGGACTGTCCGCCGGCACGATGGGAGAGCGCGGCCGCAGAGGAGCGCCGTGATACCCGGCTCAGCCCGTCTCAGGCCCGCACGTCTAACCCCCAGTCCCGATCAGGGTCGCGGTGAGGATAAAACTAGTCTCGGCGGGCTGAAAAACCTCATTCTGACGGTTAGGGGCTAGGGCGATGGCTCCTCTCTCTGCCCCCCATGTCTTGTCTGTGTTCGCGTCCGGGAGCCGTCTTTTTGAATCGTGGTTATTGCTCGATTTTCCCTTTGAAATTTCCTTTTCCCGCAGGGAAAACAAGGGACAGACGGACCGCGGACAGCGGCCCGAGCCCCTCGAGCGGCGGGCGCGAGATGAGCAGGTAGGCCCTCGTGGCGTGCGTGCGTGCGTGCCTGGGGAGGGAGCCAAGATGGCGCCGCGCACAGCTGCAGGGTGTCTGGCAGTGCTGGACTGTGCGGAGCAGAGACTCGAGCGGTGCGACAGCTCCGGATCGCTCTTATTTCTTTGCTGATGAACTACTGAACCGTATTTACGTGCTGTTAATCAACTTCTTTTAAACCATAACTCCTGGTTCCTCAGTAATAAACTTTTTTAAGGAAGAGTTTTATACCGTTAGTGCATGTGTCGGCTCCATTTTCCATTACACGTTTTCGTTTGTTTTAGAACTTTTTTTTTGCAATTAATGAAAATCACTCTGAGATGCTGCTTTTAAAGGTGCTGCTTAAAAAACACGTATTATAATAATGTCCATGAAAACTACCGCAGCTCCAGTCTCTTCATTCCCCTTCCTCGTGTTCAGCCCTGGGCCTGCTGTGGGTGTCTCGGGTGACTGGGTCCTGAAGGGGGGCTGCTGTCCAGGACTTCGCTCTGACCAGCTGTGACCTCCCAGGCTTGGACCTGTATCTCCGAGCGCAGGGCTGTTGTAAAGGCGCTGCTGGTCTCCACTGCTCCCACAGGGTGCCCCCACCTCTGGGGGCTGGGGGGGCCGCGCAATGTCGCACGCGGGGGCCCCGCCCGTGCCCTGCCCGGTGCCCCTGGGCCAGGTGAAGGCCCCGGGCCGCGGGGCCGAGCTGCACAGGCACACCCTGGACAGGAACCTGCCGAAGATGGAGAAGCTGCTCAGGCAAGGTGAGGAAGATCCCTGGCTGGGAAGGGTTTCCACACCAGGAGCTCGGCGCCGTCATCAGACCCACATTGCAAAGAACTTTCCACACCTGACAAACAAAGCGTTCAAGTTACTGCTCTCCTGCTCTCACCCTGGGAGCAGTGTGAGTTTTTCATCTAGATAGGGCAGTGTGCGTACTGTCTTTAACTGCACGTGGCAATTCTGAAAACATATTTATTCATAATTTCAGTTTATTTTATGGAAACAAAAGACACATTTTGCAATGCAGGTGTCCATTTACAGTTTTCTGAGCCTCCTTACAGAGGTGGGGGGACCTACCTAGTCCTATTAACCTATTAAACAGGTTAGAAAGAACAGAAAATAAAAATAAGTGTTTCCCCCCAGTGTTGTGATTTTTATAGAAATGATATAATTCATCTGGGTATGTAAATGTGTGAGGACAGCCCCCTGTGACCCTCCGCAGTGGAGATGGGTGTCTGTGTGTGTGATGTGATGCTCCGACACAGACGGGAGAGTCACTGCTGTCTTTGAGCCATGATTGCTGTGTGCCAGGAGTGGACGTGGACACTGCCAATAACCTGGGCCAGACGCCCCTGTTCTGCGCTGCTCTGCTGGGCCTGACCAGCGCTGTGGAGCTGTTACTGCAGTACGGAGCCAACCCCAACCAGTAAGACCCAGAGTCACGCCTCGCACCTCACTTTTGGGGCCCTGCACACGTACCGCTAATCACAAACCAAACGACCTTTAGCGCACAGGCCTGTGGGTCGCAGTGTGGTCAGGAAGAGCCACGCTGGTCTTGCGCCCAGCGCTGAGCCGTGACACGAAGACAGTTGCAGGTTTTGGTGGCCTGTTGCCTGTGTCTTATGTAGCGGTCAGGCAGACTAATTAAAAACTTGCAGTTTGGGGCCTCAAGTGGCCCCGTCACTAAAGCCATTGAGCCCTGTGGCCCTGATGTCAACAGGTTGAGTCCACTGGAGGACTAATCGGAGAGGGCTCTTGGCTTTCTGGAATCCCCTGTGCGTGTGTCTGTGTGTGTCTGCAGCCGCTGTGAGGACAGGAGCACGCCGGTCCATGCTGCGGCCTTTTCCTGCAACCCCTGGCTGGTGAGCGGGCTGCTGGAGGCTGGGGGGGACCTGCGGCTGCACGACCAGGAGGGGCGCACCCCCGAAGCCTGGGCCAGGGAGGGGCCGCAGGAGCACAGCTCACGGGTAACCCCCCCCACCCCCCCACAGCGGTAAAACACTGCAGACTGGCCCAGTGGGCTCGATACACACTGGCGGTCGTTTCAAGTGCACAGGCTGGAATGCTCAGTTTCCTTCACTCTCTGGTCTTGGAATAACCTTCAGCAGCAGCGAAAGCTGAGGTTTAATATTCATGACTGAGTGGCTTGAGCACAGTTAAATCTTTTACAGCTGTGTTATGATTTGGCAAATACAGACAGTCCTCCGATTGACAGCACAGTTGGTTTCTGAAAGCCGTCGTAAGTTGCAATATTGTACCTCTGAACTGGTTTTCTCAAAGGAACGGTGTTATAAATGGGGGATCTGCTCCTGAAGCAAGGTCAGAAAGCCTTTTCTCTAAAATATCACAGAATGCCGTGCTCAGATATAGGTAGGGTGGCCATGATGCTTTGTTCACCTGGACCTGACTTGATAAGGAGCCTACTCTGGGATTATAGTAATATGCTCTGGCATTTGGTTAAATGATCTCCCAGTATTTATTGTGGTGAATGTTTCTTGTTCCTGTATGTGCCTCCTCATCTGAGGGTTGTCTTCCCAGATGCTGGATTTCCTGCAGCGCTGTGTGGCTTGCATGCAGTCCTTCACCCAGCCGAGCCAGGCCAGAGACTCCTGGATGTCAAGACGCTCCTGCAAAACCCTCGTCCCTTCGCCCTCCCTGCTGGAGAGGTTCAGACAGGGGTGAGGAACGAGGGCCTTTTGAAAGTGTGTTGCACTCCGATTGCAGGGAGAGCTGCACGATCTGGAAATCGGGAGCTCAGACCTGTGATGTGTCACTATCGGATTCTTCAAACGGCAGTGTTCGATTAGCTCAGTGCTGCTGAGAGAAGGGTTGGGTCTAATTGCTTAAAACATGCTTGTCTCATGGCAAACAGTGATCCCTGGGGTCACCTGGTGCAACTCTGTGCTCACGAGTTCGAGCCACCTGTGACTGGGATTCCCCAGATCTGTGCACAGCTGAGAGGAGGGAAATTAAATATCCCTCAGCTGTGGCTGAGATGTGGGAAATTAAATATCATTATTGATTCTAAATTGAAAAAGCAAAAAAAAAAGTTCCCTTCAATTTCCCAAGCGCTTGCATGCTACTCGTCCTGTCGGCTCTGAACCTCCTGTTAGCCGCAGCAGGACTTGAGGCATGTCCAAAGATGAGGCTGGTGATAAATATATCCCTTTAATTTTCATTCTCTCACCTTTTGGCTTTTTGTCTGTCCTAACAAGAGCCACCATCTTGTCTGAACCCTCCTACTATGACGCGAGAGTTGTTTTAGGTAGTCCTGGGTGTTTTAATTAGTTATGATAGTCACGCAAATGAGAAATGAAATGCCAGACAAAAGCTATTATTTTTTTATTGTTGAATATATTTGAAATGTATGTAATGGGTATTTAATCTATTAAAATTTCAGATTTCAGATTAAAATAGAATTAAATAAATATTTTTATTTAAAATTGTACTTACATTTTTATCTGATTATTGAATATTTATTTGTGTGCATGAGATACATGCAAACAGAAATGCACATTGGTGCTAAAAGCAGTTTATCTGTTCCTTCTCAGAGCAGGAGCTGTCTGTGTCTTATATATTAAAGTGTAGAGCAGTGTTCTTGTAAGACCGAGCCTGGGAGTTCCTGACTCAGCTGTCCTTTTTGTTCCAGTGGCTCTGACCTGCATGTGAACAGAAAGCCGAACTCCAAGCTGCCTTCCACAGTCCAGTGCTACGGGTTCGGGAAGGTACTGTGTCACAGGCTCAGGCTCGGGGACAGGCTGTGCTCGGATGAGCTGCTGTGGTGTCTGACCTGTGCTTGTCCTGCAGCAGGAGTTATTAACTCTGCTCTTGCTTTGCCTCCCAACAGAACTCGCAGTTGCCCGGTTCACACTTTAATAATGGGCATTTGTAAAGCCATTTTTTAAAAATAATCACAAACGAATGTGGTTTAACAAGTTAAGGCATCGTCTGAAGAACTGAAGGCACAGTGGGTATGAAAGTGGACGTCTTACCTGGGCTTGTTGTTGTAGCTGTGCGCTGGTGGGCCGAGCCATGCCACAGGTTTCCTGGCCTGCACGCCCATGATCGAGGACAGGGAGCTGGCGCAGGCAGAAGACGAGCCCCTGCTGTCCTTTTCCTGTGGAGCCTTCATGAGTATGACCAAGTAAGGGACTGAATTACATAGGATTTCTGCTGGGAACAGGAGTCTCCAGCCCTGTCCTCGCAGAGTCAAAATCCACTATTGGTCACATGAAATCACCTGTTTGTAAGGACAATTTACAAATTATTATTAAGTTATTTGACTGATGTTTTTATCTAGAACAACTTACATGTGTAGACATTTTTTTCTTATGGACATTTTACTGAATTGAGTTAAATGCTCCGCTCAAGAGTACAACAGCACTGCCTCATGTTTAAGATTTGAACCCACAACATTTGTTCAGGCAAAGGAATGATGGTTCCTCTGGTTAAGGCTTATGGCCTTTAATTTGTGTTTGAAATGTGTTTAATCACAAATTGTTTCAAGTCTTAAAAAATCGATGATCTTTGAACAGTTTGGTGAGTGGTTTTGTGAGTGCTCTGTATTTTGGGCATATGAATTGCTGAGTCAGTGCTGAGATCAGGGACGTCAACAGTTCGGTGTTGTCTGTTTGCATGGAGCAGCAGTTGAGACGCATGACTTCTGTAGTAATCTTTCATTAAGTATTGCATTAAAACACGTCAAAAGAGCTTTGAATGTAAAATGCCAATGGCCTACATATAGCAAGAATAATGAATCATTGTTGTACCAATGAAGTTCTTAACTAGACCTCAGGAGACAGGCACTCGAGACTTGAGGTTTATCAAAGAATCCTGAGTAGACCTGGGATTTCAACAGATCCACAACGTGATTATGATTATGTAAATAATTTTGCAGTGTCACGTCTACTGTGCAATTTTGCAAAAATCTGTGTTTATTACAATGGACCAGGAGACTAGGGTTCCCAAGGGGCTCAGCCAGTAAATGTGCTTGTTTCAGTCACAGGTTGAGCTTGTTGATTGACGCACTGTGTGCTCATGCTTGGGTTGTGTCCCTGTCTGCCTCTGAGCGAGATTCCCCACAGGACAGAGGAGCTTGGAGCATGTCACATGATGATCTGTACCAGGGGAGCCCTGATTCATATCCTTTGCACTCTTGAGTCTGTCTGTCTCAGTTACAGCTGGAATGGGTGCCGGGTCACAGTGAAGGAGCTGCAGGCTCATAACGCAGTGCACCGAGGCAGTAGGGATTGCTACCTGGACCTGTTGATCATCGAGCAAGAGTACTGCAGGTGAGAGAGGAGGAGGGCATCAGCATTGACCTCAGTCACTGCACCTGAGAGGGACTGGAGACTGACTGTAGACTTTAGCATAAAACATTTGGCATATCAGACAAACTGGTCTTTAAACACAAGGAACAAGGGGAGGGCTTTCAGTCTGTCTGGATTGTGTGATTGCTAGAAGACTTTGGTCCAACAGCGAGATCAAGCTACGCCTCGGTGTTCACAACTCATGCCGGAGACCGTCGTGATGGACTTTTGGTTCTGTGTAGTTTCTTTTGCGTCTGTGGAGAAGTTCCGATGTTTTGTGACTGATGTTTTCGTCTCTTGCAGTCAGCTGTTCCACCCCCACCTGCTGCAGCTGCTGGCAGTGAGTGTGTCTGCTGACTCCCTGAGACCCCGCTTGGTGTTTGAGAGAGTGCACATCGGATCCCTCTATGACCTCCTGCACCACAGGGTAACAGAAAATCAGTAAAGCCTGTTGACATATCTCCGTGGAAAACGCTAATTTAGCCTGGGTTAAGCAGGTGGAGTAGTGGGAGGCGAGGAGGTGGCAGTTTGGGGGAGAATGTGCGCAGTGATTTTCATGTGGATTGGCTGTCGGCTTATTCCACTTTTGCAGTCAAGTGTGAAGTGTAATGAAAAGGCAAGACCTCGTGCCACCAGCCACAGAGACAAACTCTCACAGCTCTTCTGCAGTTTGAAATGCTCGGCTCCTCAGACAGTGTCATTCCGACCGTCATTCCTGATATGAATAATCCTAAGGGCCTTTTGTGCAGCCCTGTGGTGGAGAATTGCTACACCGTTCGCGTGGAGCTCCGGCACGGTTTTGCATGGATGCATTGGATGGGTGGTTTATGCCCTGTTTCCATGACAGACCTTTCTGCGTGATGAGGCTGGGTCACTATAGTGACTGCCTGTGCACTGTCTGAGGACTGAGAAGACTACCCCACACCTCTGGTTTGGTCTCGTCCTTACCCTAGATAAGTTTATTCCGATGTCATAAACTAAACCAGTAGTTTTGACCTGTTTTAACTGCGGACCTGTACATGGGGAAAAATTGTTATACAGTCAGACTTGATAATGACATGTTACCTTTAGCTAAAACTCCTTGCTGAATGACTGGAGAATGGTGAGTGGGAGGTCTGTGCCTGTCTGCTGCAGCCTAATATCGCAGAGCTTAATATCTCTCAGAAAACCATGTGTCTCAGGCCCTAGGTGTCCTGCCTGAGCTGTGTCTGTGTTGATCCCCTGCTCTGCAGAGGGCCCAGTTCCCTGTGCTGCGGATGGATGCCTTGCTGCCCGTGGTGCTGCAGGTGTGTGACGCCCTGGTGTACCTGCACTGCCGCAGCCTGGTCCTCCGCAGCCTGTCCTCTCATGCTGTGCTGCTTGTTCACCCCGGGGTGGCCAAGATTACTGGCCTGCATTTCATGGAGCTCAGGTAAGGGCACAGGTGTCCTGTACAGCCACAGTTCAGCAGGTTCTAGAGGTCTTGGAACAGTTAAATTGTGCTCAATTGCTGCATAACTTTTGTAAGCAAAAATCATAACAAGTTATGTAAATGACCAGTAACATGCGGGGGTTTAATTAGCTTATGCACACCTATTAAACCTATTGGATCAGACTTACTGGAGGTTAAGAGACCCTTGTAGATTATAAAAGTGTCAGGTAACTACCATATAGAAACTGAAATGACAAAATTAAGAGTCTGTATGTGTTTTCTGTATGCCATATTACTTTTGCAAAAGGTTGTGCTTGAAGCAATTTTCATGAATATGAAAATACTTGTTATGAGAGAGCTACAATCAATCATGTTGTGTAGGTACAGCATCAGTGAACAATATGTAGATGCAATTCAATTTTAAAGGACACAGGGACAACTTTGGGTGCAGGGAGATGAACTGTAAGAGTCTGCAGGCTGACATCTGTGACCCAGATTACTGGGATTGCCGAGCAGCAGTGCACTGTTGGCAGAATGCTTGTTATTATTGTGCAGGGCTCACTCCTCTCCAGCAACCCTTGAGACTCAGTGTGTCATTGCAGTGATCCAAGTGTAGGTAGAGAGTTTGTATGAAGTGAATATACATAGGGATGAAAACAATCTGAGGTTTCTTCTTGATGCTGATGTTGCCCTTGTGCCCGCGTGCTGAGCGACAGTGATGGGAACCCCCTCAGAGTCAACGCCTGCCTGCCTCTGCCCCCGGAGCTGTACAACTGGGCTGCCCCGGAGGTGATCAGGGGGCGGCCCTGTACTGGCAAGGCTGATCTCTACAGCCTGTGTGCCCTCCTCCAGGAGCTTCATACAGGTATCGGAATAAAGCACTCCGCTCTTAGCCTCCAGGTTCAAGCCCTGTGTTTGCGCCTGTGTGAATGCCATCTCATTTCAAAGGCTGCTGTCTCAGGTGCTTTTGCAAGTAGCTAGTTGTCCAGGAGATCCTCGTGAAAATGTAGGACTGTACCCTGTGGTCATGAGCACTGTGCTTGATGGTGTAGTCTTGCTGTAGCGGTGGATGAGATGGTGTTTCTCCATGCAGACGCGGTGCCGTGGGGGGCGGTGGGGCCGCGGGGCATCAGGCAGGCTGTGGAAGGCGGGCAGGCCCTGGCCGCTGACGAGCGCATTCCCCCGCCCTACTACGCGCTGGTGAGGAGCGGCCTGCAGCCTCGCCCCCAGGACCGCAGCCCCAGCCTGCAGGACCTGCGCCTGCAGCTGCGCAGCGACGTCAAGGTAACGCAGTGGGGCCGGTCCAGCACGAGCACACTGCGATCCGCACCTGCGCAGCGTCGTCAAGGTAACGCAGTGGGGCCGGTCCGGC